TTCCTAGCTTGGCGGGTTGCTGGCGAGAAATCTTCACACATGTAAATGTCACTACCTTTCAACTTAAAACGCGACGAAAATACATAATTCTTGACTTTATTGGAGGAGAATTTCACTATTGTTGGGCGACAGCGATTGGCACTAAAAGCACCGATGCGGTGTGAACGCTCAATGCAGTCTGGGGGCACCTGTAGCTCAAGAGAGCCAGAAGCAAGCTCGAGAACTTTTCTTTCAGTAACGGACCAAGTTTCGGACGGAGAATCCGCCAAACCATAAATAATTAGATTATCCCTACGTGATCGATCTTCAAGGTCGTTTAGACGGTCATTCAAAGTGGCGTTGTCATAATTTAATTTTTCAGCGAGACATTTCACTGTGTTGAAATCTTGGTCAACCAATTCAAGCGCAGATACTTTATTCTCGACAAGCGTAAGTCGATTACCGATGTCGTTAATTTTTCTTTCGATTGAACTCTGACTTTCTCTTATTTCTTTCACACTGTCTAGTAAACTGTTTTGCCCAACTTCAGATTTCAAAGATCGTTCATTCATATCCTTCACCAGCTGCATCAAATCCGCGAATTGTTTCGCTTGAACGTCGCTCATGGGGCCGGGATTAAGTTCAATGTCGCCCGAAAGTGCTAGTAACGATTTTACCACATCATAACACTCAATGACCGTAACACAAATAACACTTGGGCATGGAAACAGCAGAAGAACGATGTTATTCGTTCGTCTAGTATGTAACGACGGAGAGGAACCCACCTGTACAATGAAGCAGAACGGATTAGAAGACTGCATCCTCAGGCTGTTTCCATGCCCACTGACAGAACTGGCGACGTTCCACGGTTTTGAAGCCTCGTTGATTAGTGTCGATGTCGATGGGGTAGCTTCCTTGGGCCGGGTAAAGGCATACTGCGGCCAGTACGCGAGTACGCCAAAACATACGTTGGATTTATCTTGAAAAACTGGAAATCCTTCCGTGGCCAGCGTTGTTGTGACGATGACTTGAGAAAACGGCGATGCCCAGACAGGCGCTGAACACAGGCAAAGCAGGATCTGTACAATGAAGCAGAACGGATTAGAAGACTGCATCCTCAGGCTGTTTCCATGCCCACTGACAGAACTGGCGACGTTCCACGGTTTTGAAGCCTCGTTGATTAGTGTCGATGTCGATGGGGTAGCTTCCTTGGGCCGGGTAAAGGCATACTGCGGCCAGTACGCGAGTACGCCAAAACATACGTCGAATTTATCTTGAAAAACTGGAAATCCTTCCGTGGCCAGCGTTGTTGTGACGATGACTTGAGAAAACGGCGATGCCCAGACAGGCGCTGAACACAGGCAAAGCAGGATCTGTACAATGAAGCAGAACGGATTAGAAGACTGCATCCTCAGGCTGTTTCCATGCCCACTACTTCGTAATAAGGCTTCGCCAGCGCTTTGGTCAGCGATCCGTCGAGGAGCTCATAGGCAGTAGCCCTGGTGGACGGCAGGCAATAAGTTAGGACTAGGAGGGAGCTGCCTTATGGGTGGCGGAGTTCAAGAAAGACAGCCTCCAACTCCGGGTGCTCCAGGTCATACCTCCTGACTGCCGGGAACGTCACAAACACCAGCATCCAGCCACGTTTCCGTAAGGAGAATGACAGTGCTGCCGGGGAGGGCTGAGGAGGCGAGCTTGAGGTCTGACAATTTGTTCTTCACACTCTGGCAGTTAGTGCACAAGAACGTGACAGTCTTGTTAAACGGATTGCTCGGCCTGAGGAGCGGTGATGTGTCAGGGACGCCAGGTGCGGTGGGAGATGAAGAGTCAGGGGCAGCCAGCACCTCGAAGACGTTGTCTGCGAGCGGTGGCAGCGAACAGACTAGGCAAAACCATGGGTCGCTTCCTTTACCTATCCTGCGGTATTCTCCTAGCGACATATAAACGCAACCGTGATGAAACCAACCATCACATGAGTCGCAGCAGATGGCCGCTTGATTGTTTCGCACTCGCTTCGTGCAGCTTGCACAAAAAGGATGCTGCAGTCCAGGGTTTGTTGCGATGTCGCCGGCCAGTAGAAGAACACACAGGGTGCAAAAGTTGAGGCGGTGTCCCGTGATGCCGGCCGGAGACAGTCGGCGGCGCAATTGGGAGATGCACTGGTGTTCCGAAGCCGCTGTCGGGCTAGGCCTAGCAGGTGTAAATGGACCGACAGCCGCCAATGCTGAAAAGCTCAAGAAAAAGGGGCTGGCGACGTACACCGAGATCTACTGCTTGGCATGATGGTCGAAAGCTACAGAGTTGTCTAGTCGGAGCTTACAAAGCGCTACAAAGATACAGCATACACGGAGCAGTGCTAAGATGCGACTACCCGCCATGGTGCTTCTCATCACAGCGATGAGAAGCACCATAAGAACACCAATAAATATCCGCCAGTATTGAAAAGAAAAAAATCTGTTAAAACCGGAAAATGTTGGTTGTGAGATATTTATGTGCAAGCAGCGGTTTTTTTGTTTTCGCTAAAAAAATCTTTTGTAAACCTTGTCAAACTCGTTCATTCTGTTTTCTTTTCTTTTTTACTATCATTGTTTTAGGTTTTTTAAGGTCTCTTAGTAATTGAGATGTTTTTTCTGTCAGTGCTGATTACATGGACCTTCAGTTTATGTGCCCAAAAGTTTGACCTCATTGTGCCCTTTTGTAAATTGCCCCGCTGAAGGTTGCCCTCCTTCTTTGTGGACCCTAGTTGGATGGGTTGAAGTGGCCTTCATATTATCTGGGTCAAAGCATACCGAAAAAAGCTGCATTCGCCAGACTGGCCAGTAATGTTCCGACTCCCGAGCCTCTTTGGACATTTTAGGACTTCCCGTTTCTAGCGCAAATGCAGAGCACGCATTCTTGAAATTGCACGTCGTCAACAGGAAGAAGCAGGCGAGAATGTAGGACGGGTTTTCATTGACCTTAACTGCAAGGATATCCTTCTCTTGCTTCCAGAGCTGCGGTAGTAGGCAGCATGTGGTTCTAGCTGCGGTAGTAGGCAGCATGTGGTCCTAAGCAATTTGCGCAGTGTGCCTCTGCCCCGCAACTTTCAGACACTTGATCCCGATTTCCACACATGGCACATGTCTCCTTCCCACGACAGCTGCGTGATCCGTGGCCAAAGCGCTGACAACGAAAACACCGCTGGGGATTCGAAATGAGCTGGCAGATGCGACAATTGAGATAACTGGCTTTGACCGTCTCCGGGAGTGCATGTCCCGCAAAAGTGAGGATAACATGTTTCGAGGGGATATTTTTGCAAATTTTGCAGAACACTATGCGTTCGACATTGATGATGCCCAGACTTTTTAGTCCCTCAAAAAGTTCTTCTTCACTGGTGTAAAGAAAGGCTTCTTTAGAGAGGTGTCCCCTCTGAAGCCTTTTTGTTTACGGATAGCATTTAGTGTATGGTGGGGGCTCACAGACACTTTCACGTCCACAATGGTGGTCAATCTGAGAAGCGCTTCGCTTTGTTTTTCAGTGTTTACTTGAACAAGAAGGTTTTCTGAGTGTAGTTTCTTGGCTTTGTAAGAAAATTCAACAAGGTTTTCTAGCACTTTGGCAACAATAAAGGGTGACATCTTTACTACAGGTTTTTGCTCGTCATGTGAGTGAATAACAAAAAAACTGTGAATGTTTCGACAGTTTCTTTTGCAATGGTCTGTGGTTGTGGACACTGCCTCTTGGAGGTTTGTCTTGAACCGGGATTAGAGTTTACGGAAGCCATGAAAGGCGGAGGATGTTGAGAAACTATGGCGCACCACCCACCACCGAGCCCAACAAGGGAGTAGAGAGCACTTCATAACAAATATGGCTTTGCCGGGTAGGCTACACTACTAGTGCTACTAAGTAACTATTACCGAGTGTGCGTCTACCGTAAAATACCGGGCAATCGCCCACTCAAAATTTATAAATAATTGCGAGAAAATGAGGGATGGGCGCTTGTACGGTCATCAATTTTACATATCAATGGACTGCGTGTTTTTCCTCAGATTTTACAAATTTCGGAACGGGCACTTAATGTGGACTGGGCGGATGCGCGGTATTCTACAGTAGATAAAGGAATTTACAACCACCCAAGGTTAGCCCTTGCCGCCAAAGAAGGTGAAAAAGAAAGAGAGAAGGAAGGAAGGGAAAGAAGTGAAGGGACAGTTAAAGAAATGGCGACTCATCCTGGTCGGGCCAAGCCACGAGACTCGTATACGAGAAGCGGGGGCCAAAGGGGAGCATTGCCTCACCCGGGAGGCCTCAAAGGGTCCAAACCTACCCTGGGATCGGCTCAACTACCAGGATGCCCCTTTCCCCAGACGTGGCAGGACGACCCCGCACGGCTCGGGGTCCAGGGTGGCGCCACTCACCAAACACCTGCTTTCACAGGTGCCCCCTGTGGGAGTTGTCTTGCAGTAACAACTACAAAGACCTCAAACAACACAAATGATGATTATTCGGTTGAAGCATCTAAAACGACAGAACCATTGGTGTATTTCAGGTTTGCCTCCACTTTTCTTTCAAAATTAATGTTGTTTGCTTCCTGCAACAGGGCTAAGGAGCCACCGCTGCTACGTACCAACAGTTAAGGCAATGAGCCCTAGGATACATTTTGCCTTCCTTCGAAGAAGCCGGGACCACCCACGGCAGTAGGCAACTAGTGAAGACTGTTCCTAAGTCTAAAGGAAACCAGTCCCAAAGAGGTAAAAAGCAGTTCCATTTGCCACCCACTAGAAAGCAGCGTCCCACCACGACCCGTTTAGACATGCCTCGGGGTTAGGGAAGGGAACTCAGCCACTGGTGGCACGACCCCTTTCATCCGTGTCCCTTTACAAGTGTGAGCGTAGCAGACGGTACAAGAGTGAGCTCTGGATTTTGGGCACCCCCCCAAAAAACAGAAACATCTGTGGTGCAAGCATGTTTGGGGTAATGTGCGCATGCATGTCGCTTGGTTTCGCTCGCACATAAAGTGAAACAAACCGTAGACGGGTTCCGTCCAACAAGGCATGTTTTTTATAAAGTTCTGCTCTTGAAGAACCACTCTCTCTCTCAACTGACAGCCAAGGAACCCTTCCTGATCTCAGCATTGAAACAACAAAGCAGCGCACAAGGCTACAGGCCCTCTAAACAATCATTCACAATACTAGGGAACAATTGGCTCACAGCTACGCAACAGTGAGGGGTGCAGATGCGCTGAAAAACCGCTCGAAACAGGAAAAACGCTTTACGTAAAGGCAGCGAAGGTCTGTGAAATTCGGAAGCTTGGACAGCCCGGAGGGCACTGTTGAGAACCCGTGGATTCCTAACAGCGTTAAAAATTATCACCTTTTTCTTTTTTTTTCAAAAATTAAGTAAATTTTATTTGAATCAGATTCACACAATTTAAATCACTTCACCTAGAAAAAGAGTAATTTCTTTTCACTACAGTTGCTGATAAATTGAGAAGCATGGGGCAATTGCAGAGCAACATTAGCTGCACAGCGATAACAAGGTGCTAGGAACTCGCCACGCCCTCCATTTCTTAATAAAAAAAAATGGCTGTCTGATATGAATCCTTTTTGCTTAACTGTTCTTCACTTTAAGTACAAAATAAATGCCTGTGGACACCATAAAATGCAAAAATACAATAAATCTGAAATCTTTTTGGGACTGTTTTGGGGGAAAGTGTTTGATTTAAATCGTCACAGTCAAGCTGGAAGTGATTTAAGTCACAATTTAAATTGTGCTTTAAAACGCGATTCAAGTCAGTCACCTCGATTTTTTTCTCCCCCCTGGTTCCTAGGAACCATATTTGACAACCTACACAATAAGGGGGTGCTGAAAAAAAACGAGATAAGTGGCATTAATTTGTTGCGGAATTTAATCCACCTGTACAGTGCCAGATGACCCTTCGTTCCTCAAGGAGGAGGACTCGTTCTACATTCTCTTTGTTTTCTTTTTTTTGCCGCTCTTTGTCAGACCCCGGCCTTTACGGTTTTGCCGGTTTGCCTTGAACTTGCGGATGGCCCTCTGATTCATCCACTCCGGGTGGGTCCCGTGTTCGTCCGTCATCGTCTTACGTCTGTACTTCCGCTTCTTGGGGGCATCGACGTCCATCGTCGCCGCTCCGTCATCTGTCGACAAAACACGAGGGCAACAGGGGGGTCAGCAAACTTTACATTAGAGTTTGTAATTGATTCGAACGGTAAACACAAACGACGGACCTAAACGACACACGAAGAAGCCTCACTCCTTTCGTCTGTCGCCTATACACCTTTGCAAGTGGGATCCCGGCTTAACCTCGAACCGCGCGCCAAGGTGAGGCGGACCTACTCTCCAGCCAGGACGTTCGCTGGTTGTCGTACAATGTTGCCAAGCGTCTCTCGCCGAAGCGTACACCACTGAGCGCAGAAAGAAATTTTAAAAAATAATTATAAAACGTACATGTGTCGTCTTCGACAGCGAAAGAGCAAGGACAATTAAATAAAATGCCTAAAGCGGTAACAAATCGAAAATTTTCAAAAAGATCTAAAGTCTCAAGGCGCTCTCTTCAGAATGCGCCAAAAGTCGCATGGCCTTTGCATCAACTATGGCTGCGCTCGCGGCAGCTCTGGCTTCCACAACATGCAGGAACAAAGGCTGCGATCGTTATAAAGTCAGCTCCAACCCTGAAAGATGCCCCGTCCTACAATATGTGACGCTACGATTCTGTGTGGATACCTCCTCCTGCGTTCCGAGACAGTAAGTGTGCCGCTAACGTAAGCCATCGGCGATGCAGCAAACGGCACCATCTTGTCATCGCGCACCCCAGTGACTTGCCCCTGGCGCACCCCAGCATGGCGGAAACGGTACGGGGCACCAGCATCGCTCAGAATGGCAGCGCACAGGAGCCTTTCTTGCAAACGTGTATACTCAATTTCACTAGTCGAGCGCAGCGTTACCAAAAGTGCAGGCGAGACAGTGTAACCTTGGCAGTGGGAAAGGAGGAATTCCCCTCTTCCAAGGACCCCTCCACACCAAGATCAGCCCTTCACTCAAAATTTGTACAAAAGCGGCTTCCCTCTTTTTCCTGCCCCTAGCTTCCCTAGCACTACACAACGCAACAAGTGAGACAAAGTGTAGGGGGTGTTTCAGGGTGTCTACAAAATTGTGTCTTTCAAATTCCCCAACTTTTTCAGGTCTTTCCTTAACTATTTTAAATAACTTCCCTGACCATTACAAAAAAAGAAAAAAGAAAATGCAGAGGATGGGGTTGCGGTGATTGTTCGGTCTGTTCCCATTTAATCCAGTGAATCGGGTAGCGGTCTACGCTGCATGGTGATGCCTCGGGGAACTGTCACTCGGCGCAAAGGCTATCCACATCACTGCGTGCCATGCCCTCCCGATTCGTTGCAAGTCACTGTGCCACCGACGTCGGCCATTTTCCCTGACTTGACCAACTTTCTGGCTATTTCTCCAACTATTTCACAGACTGTTCCCAAACTTTTCCAGATGTTTTGAAATTCCTCGAAGGTTCCAGGTTTTTACGACTGGAAAGACACCCTTTGTGCGAAAAGTATAACTTGTTGTTTACACGGTTCAAATAAGCTACACAATAAGAGCGTTCAGGCTTTGTGCATACACAATATGACCAGTGTGGCAGCGACGCTGCAGAGCCAGGACTGAGCATTTCAATGTGGAGACTAGAAAGGCGTAAAGCAAGGCCTGCAAACACGATTTTATCAATAAAAACGTCCAAGAAGGGTCTCTTAATTTTGACTCGGAAGACCCAACAGAGCTCTGAAATTTTGGTATCTGGCGCCAACCACTAAGGCTTGAGCAGTGACTGGGCACACTCTATTATGCAAGATAACTTTTCTGCTGCAAAGAGAACACAATTTGCTCTTCTTACACAAATTCTAACGTTGCATTTCCCCAGAATTTACAAAACAAAGTCGGGCACAATCAAATTATAATAGTCGCGACAAAAACCATTCAACGTTGATCAAGCAACAAGACTCCAAACTTGGCCCACAAGGACGTCAAAAGATGACACCAAAGACCTGGCCCCAAAAATTTTTAAAATGCCTGTGTTACATTGGCACGCTTTTGTTTTTGTTGGGCACAGAGATTAACTAGACTTAGCTCTCTAAAGATGGCCCCTAAAAAAAGGTATTATCCGCAACGTTCGACGGACAAAGCTTATGGCAAAGCAGCATAACGAAACCAAACAAAGAGCAAGGCTAAGCTTCAAAAATATGCTGATAAAGTCGGTTCCACTTTACCAACACAACCGTCGAGGGAACTGCCAAACATTCACGTTTCATAAACGCACCACCCAATGCTTACACCTAATGATCGCCTTAAATTAATCTTCGGACAAATGTCTTGCGTCCCATCAGAAAAATACTATATTCCTTGTTTAATTATGTGGAGATGAAAGGGGGTCAATTTGCATTTTCCGGGAGATTTTCCTAATCTCAGGAACCTTGTAATTAATGCAGAATGAGTTGTTTTATCAGCTGATTTCACGGAGTACTGTGACGCATGGCTGTAACGAAGAAGCCAACACCAAAAAGCGCTACGCCCGGAGGGAACCCTAAAAAAAGACTTTGGGTCGCCAGCAGGAATTGAACTCATTACCTCAAGACTGTGAGCCAAGTGTTTTGAGCAATGCGCTACTCGAGGTTCGCGCTCATTTGTGTGGCCCACAAAGGTGTGGTTGTGTGTTTTGCGGCCTCACCCGGAGCCGTACGTACTGGGAGAGTTTGGCATCCTCTTGAAGACGCCGAGAAAAGGCAGTGTCCATCCTATTTGCAAGACATGCCGTCACATGACCAAGGCGTTGGAATCGGAACAAAGTGGCCCACCCATTTTGGAAACCCCAGTAAAGGGCTTCCAAAATGGGTGGGTTATTTCATTCCAGTGCCTTGAAAGGCATTTTGCCATTTCGTGAACAAATATGAAATGATTTCAGGGACGACAGATGTCATGCCTGTTAAGCCAAAAAGGAGTGTGTAAACAAATGGGACACAGAAATGCCGGGGAGCCCTTGTGGCCTGGCTACAGCTGCTATGGCACCCAGAAGGGTGTGTGATGCATTCTTTTTACGCCCATATTTTGTTTGCACTGCACCGTCGGCTCTTCTTGTTTCATTCTTGTCACGTGTGCCCATCCGTCTAACAGAGTTTTTGAAAAGTAGGCGATAGGCTTGTGATATCGGGTTTCTTAGGTGTTCACCCAGAAACGAACAAGAAAAACCAGTCAATGTGTGCCGGCACAGACCCTTCGAGGCTCCAGCGAAATTGACAGTACTTGGCGGCTAGAACAGAAAGCTGTGGCGGCAGGTTCGTTTGTCAGTTTTCTTGAGAGAGCCGAATGTTCACAGTGTCCAGCGGTCTAAGGACGAAGCCGCGAAAGTAGGCTCGAAAACGTGCGACGAAAATCACCACTAGATTGGCGAACCAGTCGCATCTGCAAAAAACCAACTCTGCCGGTCAAAAAAGGCCAAGTTTCCCAGGGTGTTTCTGTTTTGAGTCTAATACCTGGGTTTGTTTGCAGAGCCACTGACAAAACGAGAACAGCAGGACACATCTCTCAAACGCTCTGCCCCCAGCACGTGCTCCGTGCATTCGGCCGGGCTCTGGTTGCAAACTTGCGCTCCAGGCGCACGATACGCCAAAGAGTTGAAGATAGGAAGCATGCTCTGGAGGCAAAACAACCGAAGCTCGTCCCTCCCGTTCTCGTCCTGTCAATGGCTCTAGGTGCAACCAAGACATTAAAAAATTATACTGAAATCGCTGCCGATTCTCGACGAACATTGTTAGCATTTAGCGCGGGAGTTGCGACTTGGCGACGGACGGGAACTCCAACCTCGCGATGATCCGTGTGCCATTGTTTTTAGAGAGCCAGCCTGTTGACCAAGGCACCAGTGGTTTCAAATGCAGCCACCGCAGCCTCCCTCGACCGCCACCTGTTATGGTCCGCATACTGCTGCCTTCAAAGATCCGATCTTTCCTCCTGGGTGCCGGCGCTTTCGCGCAAACGGCGTCGTCGCGTGTGTCGTGCCGCTGCCACGCCCACTATATCCCCTCCTCTCCCGCTACCGCGGAGCATCATTGAAAGCGCGCCGGAAGGCCCTCTTCCTCTTGTAAGAGGGAAGATGGACGTAACGAGCAAACAAACTGAGTGAAAGAGCACGGTGGGAACCACGCTGCAATATCACAAAACCAGTCCGGTCCAGTTAAACCACGACCATCTAAACGAAAGACGGCAGCATGCGCCGCGGCAATAATGCTAAGGCATTTAAAATCTTACTATAATCGGAGCGGTCGGTGGGCGCTACCACGGGCAGGCACGGTACCACAAGCCAATCATTATTTAGGCCGGCTCGCACATTTGTGTTTGACCATTACTGACTGCTCGAGTCTGTTCACGATGCGACACACTGGCACTGTCTGTCGGGTAGTCCCAGAACACCGGCAATCTGCGCATATTTCCAAATTGTACATTATGCTTTCGCCGTGAACTTAAAATATTTTTGACAATGTTACGAGTGACCATGCCTCATAGACACTGCATAGATTTGATCTCGCAAAAAAAAGCAAAACCTTCAGCATGTCAGAAGTCTTCCAGGGGGCCCGACAGACGGCGCCAGTGTCTTCGCTTACCCTAAGCAGACACAAGTGCGGGAGGCTCGAGCCGTTCGAGGGAGATGGGTCCGCCTGGCCAGTCTACGAAGAGCAAGTCCATGTGTTCTTCCGGGCAAACGACACGCCCGAGGCGAAACAGCGGGACATTGAGAACTACAACTACAACAACATGAGAACTACAACTACTACAACGTAAGAACTACAACTACTACAATGTGAGAACTACAACTATTACAACGTGAGCTACAACTACTACAGCATGAGGCATGAGAAGAGTGGTCGTAACGCACTCGGTCGTAACGCCCTCCGTCGTAGGCAAACGCAAACGCGTTGATCAGCTCTTAAATCGATGGCAGGAGAAAACAAAAGGAGGCTTGCATTACCTACGTCCGATTCAGGCTCTGTCGTTTCTTGAGATGCTCGCTCCGCGACCTTCTTGGCATCCACCATTTCGCAGACCTCGGACATGTCTGCGTCTCCCTTGGTGGCCGCCTCCAACATGGTTTTCAGTCGGGCAAGCTCCTTGACAGAGTACCGCTCCCGCTTCTTGGCGCGCATCTTGCGCTTCCACTTGCTGCGCAGACTCTTGGCCATTTCTGTGTTTACACGAGAAACGTAAAGCCGGAGTCAAACTGCTCGCACGTCGTACAAAAAACAAAATGTCCCGACAACAAATTTATCTGCATACTCGCCTCAAGCATGTTGGAAGCATCTTTCACCCATGCTTCGAATGTGTCTGCAGGCCGCTTTTGTACGACCAATGCGACACAACCGTTGCACAAGGAACAAACGTGCTTCGGAAATTGTCTGCAGACCACCTTTTATACGATGTATTAGCGGTGTGTATGCAGCTTAAATGAAACAAACGTAACAATAATAAAAATAATAGCCTAGGCAACAGCCTGTACTACGGAAATCTACAATGCCGCGTCTTGCGACAATGATCAGGTGATGCTATACACAAGAAACAAGGACTACTGGGCGTTTCCGAGAGAAAAGAACCGCGTTTTTTCGGCCAGTGTAAACAAAAGATGCACCGCAGAAAGCAGAAAGCTTGTGAAAATATGATGCTACAATGGTTGGGATAGGACGCAAAACTTTGAGAATGTGACACTGCCTGGATCAAAAGGTAAAAGAGAAAGACCAAATTTCCCTACGAGCCAACGTGTGCATGAGCTAATATTGGTGAAACAAGAACTGACGCTGCGAACTGTATTATTGTGGATGTCCAAGCGCCTAAGTCGTAATCAAGGCTAAAGGCGGCTTGGTGCCTCGCAAAGCAGGAACAGCGCCCACGACACACCCGGCCATGCTGCTGGCCGAGAGGAACCGGCAGAGGCCGTAAAGGGCTGAGCCAGGACGAAGTGATGACACGACTGATCGGGACGAAATCTAAGGCGGCAACAACTCGCGTGCGAGCAGCTTTTATTTGGAAACACGGCGTCAAATGTACGAGCCACTGCACGACCGTACAGTGCCTTCATCTTAGAACAATACACAATATCGGATTATTACATGGACGCATCTGGCACAGGGAAACACACTTGGCAGCAAGGAAGGAAATATTGTTCGCTTTCTTGCTGACAATCTTCTTTTCATTTAAATGTATCACAAAGGCGACCGGGATGTGATCTCTTGTTTCGACAATAGTAGAGACTTGGGTGCACAACAACTCATAAAAAAACTTTTTTTTTTTTTTTAGGTAACGTTATATACTAAATTTTTCGCATTCTACCACAACCGCTTGCGTCATTCTCACGGAGTTTCAGCTTCTTGTGATGCGTAGTCTATTTACACGGGCCGAAAAACACAGTTATTTTTCCACAAAAACATTCGGTATTACCGAGTTTTTTTGTTTTTTCGCAGATAGGTTCTTAAGATGAACCTGGTAAAGAGACATCATTGTGCACGAGGTAAACATTACCACTGCGTACCAATAATCGGCAGCGATTCATTCGTCCACCTCGTTAGTACGTGACGATCTACCAAGACACACAAAACTGTGAGATAAAACTGTAATTATGTTTAAATCTTCTTAAAACTGTATCACCACTGCCCATGTATTGACTCAATAGTAATCGGCGCACACGACAGTCGAAAACAATGCGGTATTTATTGACACAACGGTAGATATCACATGAAGGCATAAATATAGCGAGAAGGCTGGAAACATACTCACGTTATAGCTTCAAGATTTGACTGAAATAAACGTGTGTATCGGGTTGAAAGGGTAATTTGTAAGCCAGAGCAATCAACCGACACACACACGTGTTGTCAATACGCAAAGTTGAGACAAGTTGGATTGCAGCTTGAGCTTGGCTTGGCTAAGAATAAAGATTACTGCTTTGCTCGTTTTTCCTGGAAATAATATCGTATCTAATTTTTTTAGTGATTTGATTTTTAAATTTTACCACTGTAGACGTTGAGCTTTCAAAATATATGATTTAATTATTAATTTTTGTTTATGTTATATCTTTATTTGCATTGTTTCGTTTTCGTTGGCTGGCTGGGCTGGCTTTTCCTCAGCCGCTTTGCTGCCAGCCACGTCGCTGTTGTTCTAGGTTACTTGCTCTTGTTGGCACGGTGATTTACGATGATGTATGTCTGTTCTGTAGGAAGACTTGTGCCTCGTTCATGTCAGGTTATTTGCAATAAGTGTACACCGCAAAGAATTCATGCTTTCTGTTCATGTGACTGTGGGGCTCAGTCTCTGTTGCAAACTTTGCAGCGCAGTGCGGACAGAGTGTGACCGCTCGGATGGCAGATTGTCTTCCCTCGGAGCCTGACGTTCTGCTAATCGCACTCTTCCACCATGATTTTGGATGACCGTGATTGAAACATCATATATGCACCATATTTTCAATCACCGAGAGTTACTCCGAGGCACTTATTAAGTCTGTTTCTCGCAACCACCGCCAGGGTATCTTTATTTTTTTTTTTTTTTTTTTTTTTTTGGGGGGGGGGGGGGGGGGCTTTTGGTTGGCTACGTTTGAATTGGTGAAGATGCCCTGGAACATGCCCAGCCCGCTTTCGGCCAATGGCACCTCCTCATTTGTTTCCTATACTTCCCAGTGAATGGACAAACTCTACATATACGGCTCTGAAGCAATAAGATCCATCCATCTATCCAGGCCCAGGGGTGAATGTAGGTTGCTTGATAGACCGGAGCCTCCAGAGACTCTGTCCAGAGACTCAAGATGCGGACACTTAAAAGGGATACTACAACGAAATTTCGGCGCTTATTTTGTTCAAAGGAGCAGTATCACATCGAACACACCAATATCTTGTTAAAAAAGTCACGAAAAGGAATTTTAAAACAAATTAAACGATTAGCAAAGAGCACCTGGTGGATGTCGCTAACGCCTCGTTTGTAATGCCCGTCTATAGAACCTTGACAGCTAGTTACGGTGAGTGTCTCGCCTCCGGCCACGACGAGAGAAGAGGGGAAGGAGGAACTCCCGCCTTCCCGAGAATCCTTTTTGTGTGTTCCAGCAGTAGCTATTGTACCCCTACAAGATTATGAAAGATTAACCCGTCACTCAAAATTCGTACAAAAGCAGCCACTTTGGTGGCTGGAACGACTAGGCCATTCTCTCGACGTCAGCCTCGCCGTAGCTTTGCTCGTCCCGAGACGACCTACGTCACGATTGCGTCGGATGTCACGTGCTCTAAGCCGGGCCTTCTCCGAGCGCTTGCCAGAGTGGGCCATTTATGCCAAAAAATACAGCCACCAGGCTCAAAATACAAACGTGCAATTGTCATTTACGGATATTGTGGGTCATATTCAACCTATTTTTGAACACGACAAATATATTTCAAATTTCGTTGAAGTATCCCTTTAACTCCCCTGCACCAAGGTCGTCCAGTTCAATCTCGGAGGCTGCCAGAATGTTTTAAAGACTGTTTTGTGAATTTTTATGGCAAATGCCAGACTCTAAAGGAACTTTAGGACCAATTTTGACGAGTGCATATGTGATATGAACTATTGGACTTTTATCAGAATTATGACGGTGCATTTTTATTCTTCGTATTCACTTGCCATCATTGCCTTAGTGCAATGGTTTTGCTCAATGATTTTTCTTCTTTTGCTCAATGTGTTCCTCAATTATTTTGCCCAATATGTTTTGATTTTTCTCTCAGTGTTTGCCCATATAGGCCTCCTGCACTGAAGCTTTGAACAAACTGTGGTGCCATCATTTTGGGTAGTACAAGCTCACCTGATTGGGCCTTGCACTACTTGTGGAACCTTCGCTGAGCTTCCATCTTCTGTGTGGTGCCGAAGAACAAAAAAACACCTTTCGACGTCCGAAATCGCCTAGATTCAACGCTGCAAGACAATCGCCGACTGTCAGATTTATGCCACCATTGCTAGGCTACGCATCTCTTGTCTCTGCCTGACGTCAAAACATATCTGCCATTCCGACACTGTTTTTTTCCCTCTTTTTTTCGATGTAATGTGTGAAGCATCGTCTCTTGGCTCCCGCCCTTAGCCTCTTAGTTTTGACCTGCGGTTCGATGGCGTTCGAATTTTTGTTCTTTCTTTGTGATCGTGTTCCACACCAGAGCAGGCAGGCTTCTACACCGGTGACAGTTTGAGATGCTCAAGTTTGTACTACCCAAAACAAGTCCTAACGAGCCCTTTTTTTGCAACGCGCTCTGGGCAACGCAGGAGGCCTATAGGTAGCCATATCTTGATACTTTGTTTACTTATCACTTCATATAGTGGTAATAGTGATAACTTGGACAGCATTGTCGTCATTGTTGCTTGCAATGTGTTTGACATATACACGTTTGAGAGACCGGCCTCAGGGCCGGTCTCTCAAACGTGCATATGCTTGGAATGTGCAAACGTGCTTGGACGCATCATAATCTCATTATGAAGCCTTGCTAAGGCGTCGTAATCAAGTTATGGCTGCGCCCAAGCGCACCCCAACTCACCCCAATGGACTTGCAAACATGTACAGGCTACCTTGTTAACTGATAATGTTAAGTTGCTTGTGTATTTTTGTTTTTCGTTTCCCTGTGAATATCGCCGCACATAATGTACTATTCGATTGCATTGCGTATCACAGACTAACAGTACTCGGAAGTTTCGCAAAAATTCTCATGTTCGTGGCTCATTTTGGCGAGTAGTTAGTAGGGGTGTCGCAAACTTTTGTCAAACCCGACTTTTAGGTAAAACTTTCGGGGTTCGACTGGTTCGAACCGGTTCGACGAATTTTCAAACTTTTAACCAGATTCGACCGGTTCGACTTTGTGAACAGTGTGGCCAGACCTTGATACAAGCATGTCTGTGTTTGGAGAACTTTTGTTTTATGCAAAGGGTTATTTTAATTTTATTAACAGTTGCAATCAAAAGAAACTAATTCTAATCACTGAAGAAGTTAATAACTTAATTTTTTGTACTGTATTAACTGAAATAACCAATCAGTGCTGCCCTTAATTTATCCTTAGCCATCACCATCCAATTCGAAGCTAACTGGCCAGCCCGTTGCGCATGCACATAGCAGTCAAAACTTTGTTGAACTTTTCACAAGAAGTTTGAACCTGGTCGAACTCAAACGTCAACCGGTTCGCGACTTCCTTAGTAGCTAGTTTTATTCAGTGCGCTTCTCACCGTGCAATGGTGTACTGCAGAGAAGCAGCAATTGCAAAGTAGGCATCGCGATTTTGCGTGTCTCGCTTCACTGCAGCGCACCCGCATGCTAAGGGGAAAGGCAAAATTTCTGATAAAACTTCAGCTTGCATACACTTTCCCGATGTATACGAATCCACAGCCCAGTACGCAGGGGCTCGTTTTTTTTAAAGTGAGCAAAACGCGCACCTTACGCGTGAACTCTGAAGATGTGCCTACCTGATGCTCTTTATTGGAACGGTCTGGGCTCTGGATGCCATATTTGAGTGCGCTGTTCCGCGTGGATGCTCAGAACGAGTTCACCTTAATAGGCTGCTAAGACCAGCAATCCTGATGGTTTGAAATGCACGTAGGAAAAGAATAGACCGATCTCGCCAAGCTTTCAGCGCATGCGTGAAGCCACCCTGACTTAAAGGGGCTGTGCAACAATATTTGGTGGGAATGTTTCTCCCTTTACATCTTACTCGCACTGGTGGGCCCTAAGAATACTCAAACGCAACGCCACTGACCAAGAAGCGTCTTCGTTGCGGTGAAATTCCAAGGATAAAAACGGAGCTTTTTTTTCAGTCTCTCCTTCGCAAAACTTGATGACGGAGCTGCGGGGACAATGCAAAATTTGATGACGTAAAGTGGGGATTGAAGTACACCCAAATGACGATATTTGAATGTGATTCATAGATTGGACCCGAGCACTGCGTGAGCACTCGATTTAGGCTCGTGATAATTACTAGCTCGAGAAGCATTCAGGTAGTGGCCCGTGTCCAATCGCTACAACGACGACAGTAGCCGAGCCATACCAATGTCTGGAACTCGGCGCGTGTCCTGTGCTTTGCCAACCCCAGCACGTGGCTATGATCAACATTGGCGGCATATAATCTGCTCCAGATCACGTGCCGCTTGTTCTGGCTGCGAGTTGAAGGGGTGAACGTTGCCCGTTTTTCTTTTTTTTTCTGGGACTCCTATTGCGTGGGGTTTCAATGATTTTTCAATTTTAATGACCTTTGAAATGCTTGTTTCAAAGGTCATTAACGTCAGGGATCCGTTCTAAGCGGTATTTGCGCAAAGTACAAAAACTGTTGCGTCACCCCTTTACGATCACAGGAGGAAGGCACCAGTTCCAGAGACATGTCGTGCTCCGCAGGCGCACAGTTCCAGCGAGGTTGTGGCACATGCATGACTAAAGATCCCTCGGTGCATTGCAGCAGCAGTGGCGTACTCAAACTGGCTGGCGACACCGGTCTATTGTGGATGCTCACCGTCAGCATGTGCTTAGCAGTCGTGCACACAGCTATGGCACCAGCGAATACTCCCTATGCAATAAACTGCGACATCGTTTTTTTTTTTTTTTCAATTCGAAATATTGCAAGGATACGTTGCTATTGCTAGATTTATATGGACCCTTCTGCAGCTTTACTTTTTATGCTTTGTTTTTCTCTGATTAAGAATTGCAGTTTTATTGCAACCTCAAGGACTTCAGGAAAACATAAATTTTGGTGCTTGAAGTTATTGTATTCTAACATTATTTCTGTGTGACTCCGTACCTAAAATAACCATTTCTGGCCGTTTGTGCTGTCCTTCATCAGTCCTCCTCTTGTTGTGTCTGGTGCTTTTACACGACACTAAACAGCTAGTTCTGTGTGTGAGGGAATCGCTCCAACAGTGTAACTGATGCTATCAAAAGGTTACACATAACTGAGATGGCAAAGCAGACATTGTTTTTTAGTGGGACAGGCCAACACATATATTTTAATATAATATTTGCTGTGATATAAAGAATAAGTGTGTGCAAAACCTCTCTCTGCTTTAAAATTGACTTTTGACTGCTCCAAGTGATGCTCCAAAATTACTCTGACCAATCACATCACTGACACTACCACACTAGATGCTAACAAAGCCCTTGGAAAAATTGTCAGAGTTTCAGAGATGCTCGCAAGCATGCCTCCTCAGGAGCAAAAGAGCCAGATGTTCCCAATTTAGGGAAAACGGAAAACAATACAACCCTCGAAATAGGTATGTTTAATACAAGAACATCGCAGTTTAGATACATAACGGTACATGAGTCAACATTCCACGAGGTACAAATATTTTCATAGCGTGTCGCATTTAAGAAAAGACATCAATTGACGAGAAGAAAACAGAAGCCTGCTAACGAACCGACATTTTCGAAATGCCAGAATTGACGAAGTTGCTTGTCGCCTGCTGCTGCGCCACCCACGCCGTAAAGACGTCCCCGCAGTGCGTGACAACGCACTCGCTGCTACAGTACTCGTTGTCCCAATCGATAGATTCGACGGCCGGATTCAGACAACCACTCCTGATGCAGCGTGGAGGTCCCGCAGGCACAACCACAGCTTCCGTCGGACCGCCGTCCCCGGAAGCGACGCCGGGAGTCGAAGCCGCCGGAACGGGTACGGCCTCCACCGTACGCGACGGACTGGCGATCGGAGCCGCTTGCGGTGGCGACCGATGCTCGACGGGCGGCTGGACCGGAGGCGGGCTCGGAGCCACCGTCCGCTGAGGGCTGGGCGCGGCCCGTGGCGGGCTTGGCACATTGTGCCGGCGTGGCGAGTCCACCTCCCCGTACGACGCGACCTGAGGGCTACTCTTCTGCACGGGTGAGAGGCCACCCTTCGACACGTGACTGGCGCGGTACTCTGCCAGCATCTTGAGGTACTCCTTCTTCGCGGCCTCGGTCCTCCTCTTGTAGACGTCCTTGTGGTCGGCCTCGAGGCCGTCCCACATGGACGCCACGATCTTGGAGACCTCTCCGAAGCTGGCGTTGGGGTTCTGGCCCTTGATGGCCGCCTGGGTGTCTCGGAAGAACAGCGCGTAGGCCGACACTGGCTTCTGCGGCTCGTTCGGATCGCGCTTCCCTTTCTTCTTGGGCATCCGCGCCTTCTTCGCCGCCTTGCCGAGGACGGCGGCACCATTGTTCAGCAGCGGCTCCGGCGAGGGACGCTTTACGCCGCCCACGAGTTGGAGGAGGGGAGTGCTGTCGTCGCTGTCCTCGCTCGTGGACGCCTGGCTCGGAGATGCGTGGTTCGAACCGGGGGGAGATGCGGAATTGGGTTTAAGTAGCGAAGGTTGGGCTTGATGGTATTGCACCTGCCCCGCGTACTGCCCACCGACCGGTTCGTAAGACAACACGCCCTGCGCCTGCTGGGACGGCTGTGCCACGACCATCTGGTGCTGGAACATGTCCGTGAGGGGTCCCTGGTTGCCTTGGAACGTCATTGTGGGCTCCGTCGTCGTTCCACCCATCGCTGCGCTCAAGGGCTGACTCAGGGTAGTCGGCTGCATCAACATGGAGCCCTGCTGGGATTCGTAGAAGGCCTGGGCGATGGCGGCTTCTTCGGCGGGTGTGGGCTCAATGACGTTCTGAAGGTCAATGGGCGGAATCACAAACTCCTCGTCCCCGAAGCTTGGCGTGCAGAACGTCTGGGACAAGTAGGAAGGAGTCCCAGTGCCTGCCAGTCCTGGGTCCTGCATTCTAAAGGATAAGTAGACGTTACTGGCGGTGACTCAAACCAAAGTGTACAGTATCAAGGGTTTAACAGGAGAGTACCTTCCAGTAAGGCACCAGTAGGCCTTCTAGTACTGCAGTAGCAAAATTTAACATTTCTGTGCAGCCAAAGCATAAAGATGTTAGAATAGCTCGAGCATAAATACAAATGCACATTGTAGAACAACAGTGTTTTAAATGCAATGTTACCCATACAAGTTTTCTGCATCCAATGGTGGTTCAGCACCCCACGGGGCTCAGAAACACATCCCCAGCATACCCATTAACAAAAAAAAATTAATGTTTAAGAAGGGTGGCCGGTTTTGCTTGTATATCTGCTGCCAAGCTGTGATTACTTGTTATGGGACGATCATATCAATTTCATTGCATCTAAACTATCAAGCATCGTTGGTATTTTATTTCGTCATAAACATATCTTGCCTTTTAAAACAAGGTTATTATTATATAATTTATTATTTTACTCGAATATAAATTATGGCCATCTTATATGGGGAGCCACTACATATACCTATCTTCAAAAGATTTTTATATTACAAAAAAAAAAAGATAGTATTAAGACACATTTTTCTCATGTCACGCTGGATTAACCAATGAACAGTTTTCAATCAACTTTAAGTAATAAACATTTTTTATTGACACAACTATTGTTTATGTTCGAAATGTATGGTACAAAAAATTAATCTCAACATTATCTCGAAGACTTAGCAAGCCTAACAAAAGGGGTACTGCATATCCAACGCAAACTGTAGAACCACCAAAGTCCCATTTTTAAGACTAATTACGGACAATATACTACATTATACACCTTTCCACAACTGAGCCTGTTCAGTAGGGAAAATATAGAACTTAACAATGTGTCGGTGAGCAGCTTACAGGAATTAATCATACTCATCTCAAATCAAACCTAATAGAACGTAAGTGCTGATTATACTCATCTAAACCAAAACGAATCGAAGAAAAATGTTAATTTTGGAGAATTTAGATTGTTTTTTGCCACGTTTTGTCTGCTCATGCACTATTCTCTTAAAATTGAATTCGCATTATATAATGGCACTAATCAATTTTTCTCTTGTGTAAAGGATCTCTTCATGTCTTCATTTGTTTCCTCATCATATGTAAATGATTTGGTGCCCACATCTCAACTGCTATTTAGGGGGCTCCGGGCTAGTCAAGCCGTGTTACAGCTTGTTTCACTTTTCACTTTCCAACTGTAAACCGTTGGCAAAATAAAGACATTTATTATTATTATTATTACTTAACTCCACCTATTGCAGTAGAACTAGCATGCCACTTAGTGAATATTTCCTGTAATAATTTTCATGACTGTAACCTGCTTCAAGCAAACCTCGACTGCCACTAGAAATAGTTGGTCGTTTATTAAAAAAAAATGCACGCTGTTCAAAGTAAAACATTGATTGAAAATGAAAAAGAAGGTGACATTTTGTCAGCACATTTCTGGATATTGCATGACCCTATGTCACAACCACGATATACTGTAATCCTGACCTGCTCACAAAGGTATGTGCCAGCTCGCACCTTATCGTACATGGCCGCAGCCACAGCGTTTCGTCACATTACGACTCCGCGATGTTGCATAAAGGCTTTTTTCTTTCCTAGGGTATCCGCATATCAATTGAAGGTGTGCCCTTGTCTGGTCCTGACTTGTTTTCCTCACGGGCCTCGCGAAGTCGAGCCGTCAGTCGCTGGTCGCGCGACGGATTCGTTACTAGAGGCGCCGGCTGCCAGCACAGTGGCTATTTGTGGGTGATGCGAGAACGTGCCTTATTTCAACTATGGCACAACAGCAGTCGGAGCTAGAAAAAAACACATTTGCACTTCCGTGCCTGAGAAACGCGCTCTTTCGATTAAAGCAAACATGAGAGCGATGCGCCGTGCTACTGCTACTGTAGCCTGCTGGCACTACGCTATGGTAGGTGTTCCCTAGAAACAGATATCACCAGCTGCGTGTCATGCGGATTGTGCGCTAGACAGGCTTTAAACTGTGTTTGGGTTGCAGAAAGGCCTTTACCGACGACCCTCACAGCAAAGCGACGCACTTCATCGGCAACAGCGTCTTCCATAGGGAGCCATTCTACGGGCAGGTCAGAATTACAGTAGGTCGTGGTCACAACTAGAGATGCCGCAAACTTGTTTCGAACCTAAGGTTCGAAAGTCGAACCAGGCGTTTGGAAAGGTTTGCGAAATTTTGCTTTGGCAAAGTTTTGCGTTGATAAATTGTATCATTTCAAACTTTCGAACTTTTTATATTCGAAAATTTGATTATTTCAAACTTATTGCATCAAAAAATTTGAGATCTACGAACTTTAAAATTTACCAAAGTTTAAAAGTAATTGATTTTAAAACTTGTTTCTTGAAAAGTTTGAAAAGTATCATACTTCCGAACCTACCATCTTGAAAAGTTCGACGAATTGCGAATCTCATCAGGATTCAAAATATTGCACTGAAGCTTTTATTTGTTGTTCCTATGCAGAGCAATTACATGAGCTCTAGCCTATCTTGCCTCTCGTTGGCAAGCCCCGACTTCGTTGCTGCGCGTCGCGGTATTCTTCAAGTTTAGTTCCGCTTCGCGACACTTAGCGACCTTTTTGACCTTTGCTGCAAAGATCCAACGATCAAGCATAGAGCAGGCTCACATACATGCAGTCATTACGATCCCATTAAAGGAACCAGGAAGCAGAACCTCAAGACAATGAATCGTTCCTCTAAAGAGTTCTATTGGGTGACTGAGTGGTGTGTACTCATTTTACCTGTCCTTGAAGGAAATATCTGCAATGACTGTACAGCTTATTTTTGTATGTTTTTCTTATCCTTCCTCAAGAAAGTTGCCTTTAGAAAGTGAACATCTCACAACCTAAGTACATGTTTTATCTGTAATGATTTTAAATCACAATAACAATATTTTTTACAATTAAAAACAAATTGCACAAAGTTTATAACAGCCTATAAATAATTTTATTTTGCAGTGCCGCACACCCAAGAATGTGAGCCCTGTAAGAGCTCTAAAAATATGGTGTACCTGCATACAAACAAATGTGGTCATAAAGGAGGAAAATATAGTAGGTTAAAAAGCCTGGCAACTTAACTGAACTAAATGGTCCGAGCATTACCACTTTGTTGAAAAATTAAAAGGGAAGAAAATGTTAAAAACTTGCAATTAAGATGCCCGGTTCTTCGGCTGGAGGGGTTGCCTTGTAGCTGACTCTTCTGCGCCCAGCTCTCAAGATGGCACCTGACAGAAACTCTTTATTAGCTATACGGTCTATACATCTTTAAAAGAAAGCCTCTGGAAGGTGCCATCTAGAAGGTTTGTGCATATGGCACATGTTTTCCTCGCTTTCTTGGGCGATGCACACGCGCATGCCGGGCTGTTGCTTGGAATAGGATGCCTTCATCTGCGCTTTGCTTAGGGTGATGTCATTTGACCATTTTGCTCTTGACACTTTTGTTTCTTTTTTGTTCCTGAGCGCGAGCAAGCGCGTGTCTCGGCCGGCATGAGCTCTTGGCAGTGACGGTGCTACGGCAACAGTTTGTAACCGGCTATTTATATCTTTCTCGAGAGTGCAGGCTGTCGGCATTGAGTACTACGATCTTATCACGCTAAGTAAAGCCCCTTCATGTTTGAAAAGTAACGCAAGGTGCCTTGACGCACAAGGCACGTGCAACGTGCAGCCCTTGGGAAGATCATGGCGGCACAGTGCAGCACTGAGTTAGATTTCAGACGCCATGTTCCTCCCAGAAGTGGCGCGCGGCACGTGTCTCGAGCATTTCCACTACAATGAAGGGCGCCACTTTTCCCATGATAGAGGGGCTTTAAAGCAAAGGTGCAAATGATGGCACCCTAGCTTGGAATGGTGTATGCAGCATACCAATATTTACAGAACCACAGCCCAGCGTGCGATCTCCACAGCTTAGCATATGTGCGTTTCATCTTCGGAAAGTGAGCAAAGCATGTGACGCAATTGCTGAGAGAAGCTCCGCCTTCAGTGTCAGCTCGCTGACTTCCGCGGTGTTTTGGTTGCTTGTGCGTTGGGCGGGGGGGGGATCAGTGGCTGAGTGGGCTAACGAACACCAGCTCAGAGCAAGTGGAGCGATAGCTCGCGCTGCAGAACCCAGGGATCCTGGGTTCAATTCTCACCCCTGTGCGTTTCGATCTGGATGAGCATCGTACCGGCATGCGGTCGTGTATCACTACTAGTGAGCAGTGCACAGACCCCAGGCTAGTGGTTGTACTGGAGTGGCTAAATTTCTCATCAAAAGCTGGGTGACAAGTTGTCGGTTGAGGCAGCAGACTAAGTTCTAGGTTGTATAAACATACACGCACCCCATTTTATTTTTTATTGCCTGGTTGCTTCTGTTAGCAAAGGCAGGAAAACTGCGCTGAAGGTGAAGCGGCGAATGGAGAACATCTGGGCCACCCTTTTTCCGAATAAACGGCGCACGAATCACACCATGGAGAAGGGTTTTGACTCGCGAGCTTAGTCTGCTGTCCATCACCGCTCCACCGGAGGAAAACGCGTACAGACAGACAACAGTACAAAGCGCTAGAGTTGAGAACCAAATTTTATAACCAGTGTTTGGGTATGTGCATTTAGGTTGACTGTACGCCATCCAGTGTACACACAAAGTATTGTTTATGTTTGAAGAAGTAACTTAAAGATAAACAAGCTCAGGATGCGGCCGGGGAGCCTGTTGGACTGCGTCTTTGGGGGCCTCGAGTTTAGTCATTGAGTGCTCCTTGCGCTCTCGCTGTGTCGAATCCTGTATTGATTCTATTCTTGCCTGTGGACCAGAATTTTCTCCGTCCCGCGATCCATAAATTGCCAAACAAATAGCCTGCCTTAAAATGACCGTCGTCTTTCCCACCAGCCAGAGGTTGTGGCTAGTTTCAAGTGGTACCGAAGTAGCAAACACTAAATGAACTTTACAGCACGTGTAAGCTTCGTAGCAAAATTTCAGGAGCTCAGCTCGCAATATTTACGCAAACCCCGGTCTTCGTGAGGTTTGAAGACTTCGAACTTTGCAAGCTTAGGCTCCGAAAAAAGTTCAATATTTTCTAAGTTTTTGAACCTGAAGCTCAAACAAATTCAAAATTATTGAACTTTGCGAACCTGAATCATACAAATATTTAAACCGGCGAATTTTGCGAACCTCAAGCTTAAAAAGGTCAAAACCGTTGAATTCGAAATTTTAAAACTTTGACAACTTCAATCTTTACGAATGCCAAACAGGACAGTTTTGAAAGTTTCAAACTTTGCGAAATCGAACACCTGGAAGGTTCAAAAAGTTCGAAAACTGTCGACCATCGGGAGGCTCGCGACATCCCTAATCACAACCATCAAAATAAAAACTATGTGAAAAGCGAAAAAAGAAAAAAAAAAAAACTCATTCATAATAAGCAGTAGCCTCAGTACATACTACCACTTGCCATGGTGCTTATTTCAATTATCGACGGAAGTTGCTCTGCGGTACCAGGTTCGTTGCTCAGCAGCGAACTAGTGATGATCTCGGTGATCTCGTCTCGTCATTTCGAACATCACTCCAAAACCAAGTAACCCCACGACGTACCCTCACCTTGCAAAACCGGTATGCACACCGATCACAATTATTAAACACTACAATGAAATTATACTTATCTTGTTGGCTATTTCAAAAGACCTATGGAGTGTTCCTTAACTTCCTTTTAATTTTTATTTTAGAGCAATTGACGTGTCAGTTTCCTCCCGCCAGTGAGCGCAAACTCTTCCTAACCCAGGTACTCTGTGAAGACTACACATCGTCTAGAAAACAAACAAACAAACAAACAAAAAAAAAAAAACACACGCGGACTTTATAAGCTTTATCGCAATACGAAGAGCGTCAATGCTTTGCAGAATTGATCACTTACCTCTAACGCAAGTCCGAACGAGACGGACTTCAAAACGGGATTGAAGGCACGATGAACTCCGACAAGCAGCTTGCGTGCCCCGGCAACAAATTTGAAGCAGACTTTCGCTACGCCGTGAATCAAGATGCTGCACAATATCTTCCTTAAGACTGAATACGCGGATTATTAGTGCCAGGGGTAAGAATAGCCTTCGTCGATCAAGAAGTCCGCGTCGACCCAGTTTTGTCGTGCCTGACGTGCCCCTGCGTTCGGAGTGTACGGTCGCGGTCACTAACATTGGATTGGATTGGATTCTTAAAGTGTTAATATATAAGTGTGATCATAGAGCGCCAACTTTTGTAGCGGGCGGTAGCTTGCGCTACCTAACCGAGAAACACTCACACTCATTTTTCTTAAAATTTGCCCGCCGACTTTTGAACACGAGGTAAAAAGAGGAGACGGAAGCTGCTTTTGTAAGAATTGTAAGTGACAGGTTAATCTTCTATAATCTTCTGGGAGGAAAGTAGCGACGCCTGTGCAAATCCGGGAGGCACAAAGGAGCATCCTGATAGAGGGAAGCTCCTCCTTCCCCTTTTCTCTGGAGGTCGTCGGAAATGACGTCATGTGCAATACTTTTGACCTTTTGAACACCATGTAAGAGGAGGAGAGGGAAGCTGCTTTTGTAAGAATTTTGAGTGACAGGTTAATCTTCTGTAATCTTTTGGGAGGAGAATAGCGACGCCTGTGCAAATCCGGGAGGCACAAAGGAGGGTCCTGATAAGATGGGAGCTCCTTCTTCCCCTTTCCTCTGGAGGTCATCGGAAATGAGGTCATGTCTGTTGGAGAAAAGGTTTTAAAGAAGCTACGATTGCGAGTAGTAGCGAGTCCAGACCAGGATGTGGCCCAGAAAAAAACAAAGAGTGGCGGTTGTGCCTTACATGCACAAAACCGCACACAGTCACACAGCCATCGTTCAACGTATCGAACAGGGACAATCAAACATACTCGCCGAAATAAAGTCTGTAAAAGAGCGGCAGTCAGCAGCAGATAAGGCCATAGAAGAGCTCCAGGCTAGGCTAGCTGCATTAGAAAACAACAAGGCGGACCCAGTCAGCGTTGAACCGGCCCTAGTCCCAAAAGCACTTACAACCGAAATCGCAGCCCTTCAGGCCTCTAGCGAAGATGCCAGCAACCGACTGCGCAGAAACAACTTGCTCTTCATGGGGATTGATGATTCACCAGAAGAAACTTGGAAACAATCCGAAACAAGGTTGATAGCATTTTGCACAGGGCAGCTTGGTTTCAGCCTTGATGCAAATAACATTGAACGAGCACACCGCTTGGGCAAGTTCGCAACGAACAAAAACCGTCCAATAATTGTTCAGCTCAGTCGATTCAAGGACAAGGAATTGATCCTGGCATGCGGGCCGAAACTGAAGGGAACCAACTTCGCAATTCGTGAAGACTTCTCGGCGGCAACGAGAGTAGCGCGCAGCAAACTTCTTCAGTTCGCCAAACTAAAGAAATGTCCCTTCAAACTACGGCTCGATAGGCTCTATGTAGGCAACGTATGCTATATATACGACGCCAACTCGGATTTAGTGATCGAATCGCGGAGCTAACTATGCAATACCCGGAAAAACTGCACCGCCTCCGCAATAAAACATAAACCTGAAAAGCGATTGCAGTTCTCTGTCCTCTTCACTAATATACGTAGCGTCATGCCCAAGCGGGATGACTTACACGGCCTCATTGACGATAGCACAGCCGACATTATCATCCTCAGAGAAACCTGGTTAACTGAACACATTCATGACACTGAAATATTTCCACCCCACATGAACTACAATATCTATCGTCATGACCGGCGCTTGAGAAGGGGCGGTGGCGTCCTAGTTGCCATAAAAGATAACATATCCTCCTTCTGCATCAACCGCGATACTAATCTTGAGCTAATGTGGGTATGCGTCACATCACCTATTTCCGAAATAATAATCGGAATCTGCTACAGAGCACCCGACAGCAACAATGACTTCACTGATAAGCTGCGCAACGCGCTCTACGAGCTTAGAAACACTCGCCGTAAAGCATCATTCTTCCTTTTCGGGGATTTTAACTTCCCAAATATCAACTGGACAGATCTAACAGTAGCAAAAAAATCTGCAGAAAATGAATCTAGAAAATTTCTCGACCTAACTCTTGATTTTACGTTCACTCAAGTCATCATGCAACCAACAAGACTCGACAACACACTTGATCTTTTATTTTCTACCACCCCCGAACATATTCAGAACATCACTCATTCGCCAGGGTTAAGCGATCATCAAATGCTGTACATAACATTGTCGCTTCCCATTAACAGAAAAGCGCCTACACAAAAGTTTATTAAAGACTATAAGAGAGGAGACTTCACATCCATTAATCATGCACTGCAGGCCTATTACAATGACTTTAGTAGAACATTTAGCTCTAGAAATATTGAAGATAACTGGAATATATTCCGAACCAAGCTCAACGACCTCATCAACATATTTATCCCGACTGTCTGCGTTAAATCGGACAGAAACCACCCCTGGTTTAATAAAACTCTCAAGTCACTAAATAACAAAAAGAAACGCCTCTATCGAAAAGCTAAACAAAGCGGGCTTACCCAACATTGGGATGCCCATGGAATCATTTCAAGAGAATATACCGCAAATATCAAGCGTGCCAAGACAAAATTCCTATCTGATGACATGCCCTCTATCCTTCGATCTAATCCAACTCGATTTTGGCAACTTTTATCACCAAAATATCAATCGCGATCACTGGAACTAACCGACAGCAATAACGACCCAATCATCGACAGTGAATGTGCAACGGCCCTAAACGACTTCTTTGTATCTGTATTCACGACTGAAGACCTTGGCAATCTACCTACACCTCTTCCGGTATCGAGCCATATCATGCCACCTGTAACGATATCATCTCTTGGAATAACTACGCTGATTAACAAACTGAAGCTTTCATCGTCAGCCGGGTCGGATAATATCAACTCCAAAATACTCAAGAACATCGATGTAATCGTCAGCTCATATCTTTCATTAATCTTCTCGCAATCCTTGTCTTGTGGCCGCTCTCCAAAAGATTGGAAACTTGGGAAAATAGTACCAGTCCATAAACATGGTAACCGATCACTTGCATCCAATTATCGTCCTATATCCTTAACGAGCGTCCCATCAAAACTTTTGGAGCATATACTCAGCACCAACATAATCAACCACTTGCACTCGATCAACTTTTTTTACTCTCACCAACACGGTTTCCTAAAAAATCGCTCTTGCGAAACCCAGCTTGCCGAATTCACTCACGACCTACACATTAATATGAATAACAATTATCAAACAGACGCCATATTCCTAGACTTCTCCAAGGCTTTCGACCGAGTTCCGCATAATCGCCTCTTCTCTAAACTTTCAATGCTCGGTATTGACAAAACTATAATTTCTTGGATTCGGGATTTTCTTACGTCGCGAGTTCAGTTTACCATTGCTAACAATCATCAATCACCCCTTGCTAACGTAACATCAGGCGTTCCCCAGGGAGCAGGGCTCTCCCCACTCCTATTTCTCATATATATAAATGATCTTCCGCATAACATCGACTCAAAAATTAGGCTGTTCGCAGACGATTGCGTTGTTTACCGACCAGTCGCAAACTGCTCTGATCATATCGCCCTGCAGAGGGATCTAACAAGAATTAACACTTGGTGCGATCGTTGGCTTATGCCTCTTAACTACGAGAAGTGCAAACTTGTATCATTCACGCGGAAAAAATCTGCTCTTTCTTACTCATACTCACTTGATGGCGTTTCAATTGGCTCTACTCCCTCATACAAGTACCTCGGTATCCATCTGTCTTCCACACTTTCTTGGATTCATCATATCGACGTCATCACTGCTGATGCTTCGCGGACTCTGGGCTACTTAAAGCGGAATCTAAAATCAGCACCTTCTCACCTAAAGCAACTAGCGTACACTACATTCGTTCGCCCCAAACTCGAGTACGCCTCGTCCATCTGGCATCCATCACAAGCTTACCTCAGCGACAGTCTGGAAGGAATTCAAAATCGTGCAGCCCGATTCATTTCATCAGCATACTCCCGCGACACCAGCGTGACACAGCTTAAACTTACTCTCGAGCTTCCACTGCTCTCTGACCGCAGAATAATCTCGCGATTATGTCTCTTACATAAATTTTACCACACTAGCACCAACTTATCTAACTCCCTGATATCACCTCCTGACAGAATTTCGTCACGCCTCAATCACAGCCGTTGCATCAAACGCATAACAGGCAAAACGTTAGCATTTAATACGTCATTCTTTCCTCATGCCATAACTATCTGGAACTCTCTTCCTGAAAAAATCATCCTTATTACTGACCAATCCGCTTTTCGCCAATCAGTGACTGCACATATCCAATAAATTTTAACCATTTTAACCTGTATTACTGTGACTATTGATTTTACATCAATTTTTTGTTTGTTCTATGTTCGTGTTTATATGTTTTGTATTACCCCACAAGCTTCCCCCCCCCCCCCCCCCTTATGTAATGCCCCACAGGGCCCTTAAGGAGAAATAAATGAATGAAATGAATGAAAACCGCAAACCACCAGTTGGTTGCGTGAAGAAGCATCGCAGCCCGTTTGTAGAATGCGCAGAAGGCGTCATCTATGAGATTCCGCTGACGTGTACGGTAAAAAGTACGTGGTACAGACGGGAAGATGTCTAAATGACAGATTGCGCGAGCACAACCAAAAAATGAGCGGACAGCGTGACGGTCATTTGTCGATGCACTGCCATGACTGTGGGTGCAAACCTGAATATTAAAGGGCAACTCCGCTTCATTTTTGATATTTAGAAAACTATGTAGGCCTCTTCAGTATCACATAGGAAGACCCCATGTCAAATATTACGATCTAATTCCGTCTATATATTTAATAAACTGGCCAGCGAACCTTCAAGCGAGCCAAGTCGCCGAAATCTGCCAACTCTACTTCATGCATGCAACATGCATACTTCATTCTCACGTTTTGCTTGTTTTTACTTTTCAGAGCGAAATTTAACGATGACGTCATGAGTTTCTCCTCCCGGTGTTGGCTGACCGGGCGTTCACGTGATCACCGCTGCCCTGTGCGCTTATCGGTCTGTTTCTCCGCTCCCCTTCTCCTCTTTCGTCTTCTCCCCTTCCCCCTCTCCCCCGGGCCATCACCGCCCACGCCATGCGAAGCGACCTGCCCGCGTCCAAAAAAAAAGGA